GCGCTGCAGAGGGCGGGAAGGGCTCGAGACGCCCTCTGGGCATGCGTGGCTCAACAGGGGGAAAACTGCTTTGAAAAGCTCCGATCTGCGGCTCAGGGCGACCCTTCACCTAGAGTGGAGCACCCACGGGGACACACATCTCGAAGAACACTCGTTACTGCACGAGGTGAGTAACTCCCTTTTCTTCTATGGGAAAGGTGTAATTGTGTTTTTCATCAGTATGAAAAGAAGAACTAAGCCTAAAAGTGATGTGTGGGATTATTTCCTTCCTAAAACAGTTAAAGACAAAGTGTTATATGAATGTAAGCACTGCAAGGCTGAATACATCAGAAATGCGACAAGGATGAGAGAGCTTATTTCCAGTTGTTTGAAGACTCCTGCTTACATCAAGGAAAAGGCAACAAAATTCTCAGAGCCAAACCCCTAATCATTTTAGTTGCCCTTTTCTGAACCCTTTCCAAGGCCAAAATATCTTTTTTGAGGTGAGGAGACCACATCTGTACACAGTATTCAAGATGTGGGCGTACCATAGTTTTATACAGGGGCAGTAAGATATTCTGTTTCTTATTTTCTATCCCTTTCTTAATAATACTGTACGTATAGTTGGGGTTATTTTTCCCGATGTGCATTACTTTACACTTATCCACATTAAATTTCATTTGCCACTTTGTTGCCCAGTCACTCAGTTTGGTGAGATCTTCTTGGAGTCCCTCAGTCTGCTTCTGTCTTGACTATCCTAAACAGTTTGGTATCATCCGCAAACTTTACCACCTCACTGCTTACTCCTTTCTCCAGATCATTTATGAATATGTTGAAAAGGATTGGTTCCCAGGACTGACCCTTGGGGGACACCACTAGTTACCCCTCTCCATTCTGAAAATTTACCATTTATTCCTACCCTTTGTTTCCTGTCTTTTAGCCAGTTCTCAGTCCAAGAGAAGACCTTCCCTCTTATCCCAATGTAATTTTTTCTGAACCAAATTTTCAGAGCTCAAGCTTTTTCTTCTTTTCTCTGAACTGGTTTTCACATTGGAACTTCAGAAATATAAAGGAACAACAAACAAGGAAGGGTTATCTTGAAGCACAGAACTACAGGTGATGATCAAACTGATTTGAACAAACTGAGGCTACATCTAGACTGCATGTTTCTTTTGGAAGAAACTTTTCCAGAAGAAAACTTCCAGAAAAACTTTTTTCAAAAGAGAGTGTCTACACAGCAAAAGTGCAGTGAGAAAGAGAAGTCTGGGGGGTACATCAATACAACTGAAATTTGGAGAAAACTGAATTTTGGTTTTAAGTTTTACAGCGCTTTCTTATTTTTGTACTTTTTACACCCCAAAATTTCATCTCCAGCCCAGCTACAATTAAGTTCTTGAGTTCTTCGTTCCCGGAGATTTGTTAACATTAACATTAGTTTTTCTATTGGTTCCAAAACCTCCTCTAATGACACTTCCTCAGATTCATCACCCACAAAGGACGGCTCAGATTTGGGAATCTCCCTAACATCCTCAGGCATGAAGACTTGAAGCAAAGAAATCATTTAGTTTATCTGCAATGGCTTTATCGTCCTTGATTGTTCCTTTTATATCATGATCGTCTAGGAGACCCACAGGTTTTTTAGCAGGCTTCCTGCTTCTAATGTACTTTAAAAACTTATTTCTTTTTGAGTTTTTGGCTAGCTGTTCCTCAAAATCTTTTTTTGCTTTTCTTATTACATTTTTACACTTGATTTGACAGTGTTTATGTTCCTTTCTATTTATCTCACTAGGATTGGACTTCCACTTCTTAAAAGATACCTTTTTGTCCCTCACTGCTTCTTTTACATGGTGGTTAAGCCACGGTGACTCTTTTTTAGGTCTCTTGCTATGTTTTTTAATTTGGGGTATACATTTAAGTTGGGCCTCTATTATGGTGTCTTTTAAAAGTTTCCATGCAGCTTTCAGGGATTTGGCTCTAGTCACTGTGCCTTTTAATTTCTGTTTAACTAACCTCCTCATTTTTGTGTAATTCCCCTTTTTGAAATTAAATGCCAGGGTGCTGGACTGCTGAGGTGTTCTTCCCACCACAGGAATGTTGAACACACTCTGAAAATGCTGGGAAGGAGGGGGAGGAGCAGGTAAGTGTGGGGCTATGGTGCCCCAGTGTGTGAGAAGCAAGCAGGGGCATATAGAGAGGCCACAGGATGCTGCAGCCCACTGAGGTGAAGGAGGGCCGTTCATGCGGCCTACCCACTATCTGTGTTGCTCATGCCTGGTGTAGGCATCCTGATGGATGTAGGCATCCAAAACAAAGACACAGAAAGAAGAGGAGCCGCCACGCTTCCTGGGCTATGAAATACTGATAAAGTTTCTTGCAGTAGGTTGTATGACACTGTTCACCCAATTACTAGTCTGCCCATTTTAGCACCAGCAACTTTTGGCCAAGTACAAAGGGCAAAAATATTAAATGACTTTAGGCACATCCAGTCTGCTCTATCCTTTCGATATATTTTATATCCCGGTATGATTGTGTCCTACAGATTTTCCTCATTCCACCAGGTTTCAGTGATGCCTATTATGTCAATAGTGATAGAAATGTAACTGTGTTAGTCTGGTGTCCCTTAAAGTCGACAGAACATCCTTGATAGTATGAACTCACTGTTTAGAAAAATCGACCTTATGCGGCTATATTTGATCTAAACTCCTAGTGTAGAACAGGCCTTAGTTCTGTCTCCCAGGCCTCAAATACAGCTGCAGACTCCTGAGTCAACACTTCCTTCAAGACCATACATGGAAGCACAGTGATTCTGTCTCCCATGGCATCTGCCAAACTTGGGGTCTCCCAGAAGATGATCTATTTCCTATCCTAACCTTTCTGCTTTAAAGGGGAGGATATGGTAACAACTCCTGGGGAGACACTTTAATAATACAGTGGCCCTGTAGTCTATTACATGCTTACCTGTCCTTACCTCTAATCCTCAAGGCCTTATTCAAACTGCATCAGGAAAGAGGTTTGGTTATTCTTAGAGCCCCACTGTGGCAGAGACAAGTGTGGTACTTGAATCGCCTCTGTATCTCTGACTTCCTCTCACAGAAATCAGGAACCCTGATGCATCCCATCCCTCCTCCTTAATCCTGAGAGCATGGTTCTTAGATGGTTCGCAAGCATGGAGCTAACCTGTTTGCCCAAGGTCCAGTAAATTGGCCTATCAGGAAACCTACTACTCACAAAACTTACCTTCAAAAGTGGAAATGCTTCTACTCATGTTCACTTCATTGTTCCTAAGTCTGAGGTTCCATTCTCTATAATCCTGGAGTACCTGTTGGAATTAAAGACACACAGTCTGTCAGTGAGCTCAATCAGAGTACATTCAGATTTAATCACAGCCTTCCACTCAACCATCGAAGGCTGATCAGTCTGTCCACTCTACTACAGCTAGATTCCTTATGGAATCTGAGTGTCCCATCTCTTTCCCCACCCCAGTAGGACCTAACTTTAGTTGTCAATACCCAAAGAAAACCTCCCTTTGAACTGATGGCTACCCATTCTCTCCTTCATCTCTCACTCTTGTCTTCATTCCTCAAAGCCATTACTTGAACTAGATGAATGGGAGAACTCTGTGTTCTTATGGCTGACCTGCTATATACCAGTCTTTATAAAGTCAAGATTACATACACCGCAACCTCATTCTCAATTCCTCCCAAACGTCTAGCTGGTATATCACATTAATCAAAAGATTAAAGTGCTATGGTTTTACCCAATAACTTGCGCCTCCAGCGAGGAGACCAACCTCCATACACTGGAGGTGGTCAGAAGTACCGTAACCTTCTACCTTCACAAGACTCAAACTTTCCAAGCCTCTTCCTAGACTATTTGTATCATTTGCAGAAAGGATGAAGGGATAACCTATTTCCAGTCAAAAGGCTGTTAAACTGGGTATTGGGTTGCATCTGAATTTGCTATGAATTCATGGGGATGCATCCCCCTTACAAGAGAACATTCCACTAGAGCATAGTCCACATCTATGCCTCAACCAATGGATTTTTCCCATAATAGAAATCTGTAGGACTGCAATTGTATCTGCTATTAATTCCTTTGCCAACTTTATGCCATCTCACTACTTCAAGGATTCTACCTTTGATGACCAAGTCCTCCAAACTGTCTTGGACTTGCCTCCTCAATACTCGACTCCTCACTGAGCTATTGCTTCAGAGTGTCCTATGGTGGAGCATCCATAGGCAGTTATACTCCGAGACAGAGATATTGTTTGCCTTACAGTAACTTGAGTTCTTTTAGATGTTTTGTCCCTATACGTAACCCAACTCCCACCCTCCCATCCCCTGGCTGTGGAGGCTCTGCTTCCATGGTCAAGAAGAACTGAGTGGGAGCAGGTCCATACGTCCCTATATGTCCTCATTTGGAGGCCCCATGTACACAGCCTTGTATTCTCCACCTGAAAGTGCACAGGCATGTGTGATTCGTATGTTGGAGCACTCATAGGGGCAGAAAACATCTTGAAGAACTCAAGTTACTTTTAGGTAAGTAACTGCTCCTCCTCCATCCAAGAGCTGATCTCCTGTAGGCTTTTTGACATTTTGAAAGTGGCAGTGGTTATATTAATTGAAAATGAAATATATAATTATCAGCTTGCCACTGACCGCTAAGTTCACAACATAGCATGTACACTCTCTCTTTCCAAGTACAGATTGAACCTCTCTAATCATGCCATGGGGACTGACATGATTTTAGTTAACCAGATTTACACTTGCTGTGGGTGTGGCCAAGTTTCCTGTGGTCCCATGAAGTTTACTTTCAGCTCCTAGTCCTGGTTCACAGTCTTCTGTGCTGTTGTTTATCTCTAATTTACCCTTAAATGTTTTCTGAGAGCCCCAGTAAACTGGAAGTTTTGGTAATGCTGCTAAACAATATCGACCTCCCCTTGGTTCAGAAAATTCTCTGGTTCAGCACTGGTCAGTCCCGAGGGTGCCAGACTAGAAAGGTTCAACCTGTAATCTTATGTAGATACTAAATAGAATATAGATTCCCGTGGGACGAGGGCCTTTGGAGAGGTGGAATAATTAGCCATCACCACTCTGAATTTGGCCAGAGAGGAACAATTGGAGCACTGTAACCATCTAGTCCTGCTATATCACATAGGCAGTACTCTGTAATCCATTGTGGCAGTGTCCAGACTCAGGGTTTTTTTCGGGAAAAGTAGCCTTTTCCCGAAAAAACTTCCCCTGCGTCCAGACTCAAGCTGCGTTCTTTCAAAATTATTTCGAAAGAACGCGGCTTTTCTTTCGATGGCGGTAAACCTCGTTTCACGAGGAAGAACGCCTTCTTTCGAAAGTTCCTCTTTCGAAAGAAGGCATTCTTCAATGTAAAGAGGCCGTCTTCGAAAGAGAGCATCCAGACTCGCTGGGTGCTCTCTTTCGAAAAAGCGGATTTCTCTTTCGAAAGATCCGCCTGCAGTCTAGACGCGATCTTTTGAAAGAGGCTCTTTCGAAAGATGCTTTCGAAAGAGCCTCTTTCGAAAGAAGCCTGCAGTCTAGACATAGCCTGTGAAAACTCTGAAGAAAGATCCAGTGACATGAGCATGGAAACTTTACTTGATTCCATATCTATGTAGAGATTGTCTCTTAATGCCACTAGAGCAGTCTGTGCTGTGCCCTAGTCGGAAACTCAACTATGAGGCATCCAGAATGTTGGCTGATATTACATGTTAGAGCCTGGTTGTTCCTACTTCCTCAGTTATTTTGCCCTGGAAGAGGAGACCAAAGACAGAATGGTGGTTGGAAAGATCTTTAGAATCAAAATTACTTCTTGCATGTTTAAGGAGATTGGTAATCGTGCTTCCCCTTAAGAAGCATTGACGTGGGTGGTCTGTGAAGGTAAGGCTGGAGGAGGCAAGCCCTTTGGCTGGGGCCCCGCCCTCCACCATGGACAGGTGGGGCAGTGTGCCACATACACCCTTCCCACCATGGCGAGGGGAGGAAAACAGGTGCACACAACCCAGCCTCCCCAGCCCAGAGCACGGGGAGGGGGTGCAGCTCCATCCTCAGAGCACCAAGGAGGGCAGAGGGTGTGTGGTTCCAGCCTCCTCGGCCAGGAGCACGGGGAGGGAAGGCACAGGGGGCAACAACATTCTGCCCCCAGAAGGCCTACTGCAGGCATTCTGGGAGTGAACTGTGGGCAGAGCCAGGCTGGCAGTTTGGGAAAGCTGTGCCTTCTTCCTCCTAGCATACCGGCTCTGCATGGTCATTGACTATTTCCATTATTCACTCCCTTTTACCAGGCAAAAGGGCTTGGATCCAGTTCACAGATTGTTGCTCTATTTTTCCGGACTGCTAGAGTTTTGGCATGTATGATACAGCTAAAGTTAGTCAGGGGTAGTAGGTTGATGGTAAAGCCTGGTCAACCAGAGCTTTTTTTCCCTTTCTCCTATTAAGTCCCATCTGTATTCTGTATTGGTGAATTGTGCTGACAGCTTTTTACTGTAGTTGATGCTTGGATCTGGTGTGTGGGCTATGCATTCTGGGCTGATTATTCCACTAAGCAAAGTAGCTCTGCTACAATTCTGCTGCACTGATTATGGAGGAGTAAAAGGCCCATTTTGTTTCCTTTCCTGCCATTGTATAATCCTGTAATGGTGGTTTGTGGTATTGGCAGAGGGATTCAGAAACTGCCACTGGCATTCTAAGTTTCTGATTGGGTGAGTCACTTGCTGTAATTCATCAGTGAATCTTGATGGTCAGTATGGGGAGACAGGATGGTTTAGAGTCAAGGTATCAATGACAGATTTATAGATTCCAAGGCCAAAAGAGGGACCATTGTGATCTAATCTGACCTGCATAACATAGGTTGTTTATAGAACTTCCCTGAAAGCATTTTTTTAAACAGGAATGTATCTTATAAATAAATAAGGACATCAGATGACTGTTTTGATACCTGGGGCCCTATTTGGGTGGCTTGTTCTCATACAGCAAGCTGAAAACCTAGGGAAATGAGCTGTCCTTAAGAGTGAGCCAACTTTGTTGCTCGCTGCCCTGGCTGGAAAGGCTGTGATCTCTGGCTGTCTATATGTGGAGGTAGACAGGATTCCCAGCTCAAGAAGACATACTTGCACTGTATGTATTAAGATAGAATGCTAAAAGTAGTAATGTAGCTGCTCTCAGTCCCAACTTGTCCAGACCCTGTGAGTACATGTAATAGGCTGAGCACTTCAAAGGGATTCTTGAAGGATGTAGGGGTTGGATGCCCCTACCACTTACTTGTACAGAGGCCAGTGGTGGTCTGGAAGGCTGTGTTTGTGTTGCCACAAACTGGTGGTTTCAGGGATCAGATCCACAGTAAGTACAGACAAGACTTCCTCATGTTAAGGATAGGTGATGAATGAGGCCTTGTAATCCTGAGTATCCTTAGGAATCTTCACAGTGGCATTAAATGATGTCTAAATGGCATAAGCAAGGACAGGTGCTTCAACTAAAATGAGAACATGGTTGATGCTGGTTTTATAGGCTAGTGTTACTCCCCCCTTTTTTTAAAAGTACCCCCTTTTAAAAAAAAAAATTACAAGTACCCATAGTACCTACAGTTTTCAAACACAATTTTTTTTTCTACCATTGCAATACATTTGTTTAAACAACTTAATCGTAGCCGGGCACATGATGAAAGTTTTGGGTGCGTGGCGGGCCCCTCCCCCCTGGGTCCCCAACACCCTTGTGATACAGTCTATCCCTGGCCCTGGCCCTTTAAGCCCGGCCGAGTCCACAAAGCAGTTTATACCTGGCCCTTTAAGCAAGGCCGAGTCCACAAAGCAGTTTATCGTTGTAGCGGGGACGCACCCCCAGGTAGGGGGACCCGGGCCACCCTACTCCACCGGGTCCCAGCCCAGGGCCCTGTGAGCGACCAGGTACTGGGTCACTCCCTCGGCGGGGCCATCCAGCCGAAACGCGCCGAGGTTCTCGGGCTGGGAGAGGCGGCTCTCGCTCCTGCCCTGGGCCACTTCCTATCTGGATCCCCGGGCTTCCTTCCCCTGCACTTGCCCAGCTGGCTGCAATCTCCAGACCGGCATCCCCTCGGCAGGCAGTCTCCTGGTTGCACCAACTCGCCTCCGCCTTCCTTCCAGCCTCTCCTGGAGTCCCTGGCAACCGCTGAGGGAGAGCTCCCTTCTCCTTCGGCTGTCTCCCCAGACTGAGTCCTGGCCCAGGCTTTTATAGCCCTGCTGCAGCCTGGGCATGCTCGATAGGGCTGTGGGGGAGGGGCCTCTGCAGCCAGGTAACCCTGTCTGGGCCCTGTAGGTTCAGTGCGGGGCTGCCTCGCCCCGTCACAGGGTGTAATAATAAAGCGCTGTAAAACTTAAAACAAAAATTCAGTTTTCTCCAAATTTCAGTTGTTGATGTACCACTCCACCCCCAGACTTCTCTCAAGTACCCCAAAGGGTACTCATACCACTGGTTGAGAAACACTGTTATGGCTACTGCTCTTATGTTAAAGCTAACAGTAGCTGTAGGCTGTTTTCTCCTGATGCGCTAATTTTTCAAACTGAACAACTTGCTTCCTGTGCCTGGCTTTCAGATATGTCTTAGTACATGGTGTTCTCAGTCCATATTTCTACAACCAAGTGATGGTGTGGTTTGAGGAAGGTGGGTAATAGGATTCAAGGTCTTTTGAAGATGATGGTGTTCCAGTTATCCAGATCCCAGGGGCCAGACAGTTGTGCTGTGCTGGATCAGAGTTGAGTCACTTTGGCAAGATAGTGTTGTATCTCACTGGATTGTAGCTGCACGTTACATAGCTGTTGCAGGAAAAACAAGACCTCAGCATTCAGTGCTGTCAGTATTGTATGTAAAAGGGAAGCTGTATAGCAGGCATGTCAAACTCACAGCCTCCTGAGGGCCGCACAAATGAAAATTAATAGCTTTCAGGGCCCCATAGGGTGGGGCAGGGGGCAAAGTGCCAGGCAGAAGGCACCAATACCGGACACCTGGCAATCCTAGGGTCACCAAAGAAAATGTGCTTTGTCAGAAAGTTATAGTTATTTATTATTATAGATTATATTTTAGATATATTTTATACTGCATATTAAATAATTTTAAACTTAATTTTACATCATTTTTAATTATAAATTTAAGGTACTTTTTTTTTGGTAGTCCGTCATGTCCGACAATGACATCTTGAGCTTGCACAGTCTCATAGGTTGTGGACTCACATGTGGCTGAGGAGTCAAAGCTTTGACTGGCATGGGCGTTCACAGTGGGGGCAAAGGAATTGTCCTGGCTCTGTCCGTGTGGCTGCTGCTGTTGCTTTTCTCCTCTCACGAGCATCAATCAGGCATATGCGTCGCTGCTTTTCAAAGTTGTTATACACATATCATACTAGAGCACACCAGCCTATTCGGTCTTCTGCATGCTGCTCTAGCTGCTTTGGCTTTTATCCAGAATGAGCAATGTTGGCTTTTACACAGTCTTTATACCTCTTGTGAGGCCTACCTTGATTCTTTTTGAACTGGGAGAGTTCATCGTAGAGGAGTTGCTTAGGAATTCTTGACTCCTCCATTCAAATGACATGCCCTGTCCAATGAAGCTGGGCTTTCAGAATCATGGCTTCAATGCTTGTGGTTCCTACTCTGTCTAGGACTTCCAAGTTCATGACTCTGTCTTGCCATCGAATGTGCAGTAATGACCTCAGGCTGTGTGTGTGGAAGTGCTCCAGTAGTTTCACATTTTCTGTACAAGGTCCAGGTTTCACATCCATACAGGAGACTAACATGAATGACTACCCCAGCATGTGCTCAACTCTCACCTGTGGCTCCATGAAGGTAAAGAAATTAGTGTATAAGGTAATCATAAAGTTCCTGGTCCAGGCTCTTAGCAGAGATGGACTCAACTGTTATCTTAAAAGTTTCTGGAGTTTATTCTTTGTTAGGATGGGTTAACAATGCTTCTGGGCCCAATCTGAAGCAAAGCTGCTTCTGAAGTGAGCGGGAGCAAAGACAAAGATGGAAGACCCCTTATGGCCCTTTTTATAATCTTGCTCATGTGGAGGGAATTCTGTTGTTCTTGCTGTGTGAAGATACCTCCCAAAATGGAATTTGTTACGTAAGCAAGTCATGTCGTTTTTAAGCAAGTGGCCACAGATTGAATGCAAGTTTGCAACAGAATCCCTCAGATGTGTAACACTGGCAACACTTAGGGGCCAATGTCCATGAAGTACTGCTGGTTGCTAGAGCAGACACCCTTCACAATAGGTGGATGACACCTGTTGCTGTCTCCAAGAAGCAAATATTCGAAATACTAGTACATAGCTAATACAGGTTGAAATTGAAATACTAGTACATAGCCAATACCAGTTGAACCAAATCGGGACTCTCTGATCCGGCAATATCCATGGAGGCCGGGAGTGGGGGCCAGCCGGGAGAATGCAGGGATGGGTCAACAGTGGCTGAACCAAGGTGTGGCTGGGGAGCCATGGTCCCGACTGGGGAACCCCCCCCCTCATGTTAGTTAGGCCAGGTGTTAGCTGTGATATCCCAGGCCATGGAACTCTGTGGACCCCCCAGCAAAAGCAGGACTGACCCCAGCGGTGGGGCCAGTGGTGACCAGGCAACCCTGGCTAGGGAACCCCAGGAAACACTTGGCAGCAGCAGGACAGGATGGCCAGGCACCCTAGCCAGGGAACTCCCCATCACATGTTACTGGGGCCAGGGAGCCTCTGGCAGCTGCGGGGCGCTGGTGGGGGAGAGTTCCAGGGAACTGCCAGTGACAGCTGGGCCAGTGGTGTCCGCGTAGTGTTGATGGTGGCTGGGCGGGGAACTCTGGCAGCAGCGAGTGGTGCTGCAAGATGGGAGCCCCGGAGAGAGGAACCAGAGAGTGGATCAGCTAGCAGAAGATCATTGACCTCCTCTGGTCTGGCAAACTCCCTGGTCTGGGACAGCTCAGGTCCCGAGGGTGCTGGAACAGGGAGGTTCAACCTGTACTTACAACTTTAATTACAAAATTCATACATGCATGTGAATAGCATAAACAGAAAAAGCCAAGCATAAGCTCCCACAACATACTTTAGTTGGCCCACTTTGTACAAAATGTGGGGCAAACATACAATCCTAGATACAACAATGATCTGCAAGTTCCTATTAAAATCCAATGTCACCGTCACCAACAGAAACTGGTCTAGTAAATGATAGAATCTTGTCTTACTAACATGCCAGGCTAAAGATTTTTGTGCTAAAACTTGTCCTAATATTTTTACCTATGTGTTAATGATGTTAAATATCAGTTAATGTACTAGTCGTGTAGTCAATGGAATTTCCATTGACGACTCAACTAGTCAATATGCACTTCCCTGTTCCTCCTTTGAAATGTACAAGAGCCCGCACTGGCTAGGGAACCCCAGGAAACACTTGGCAACTCCCTCTGCAGCCCCA